GAAGAACCAATGTTGAAAAGGGGAAGAACCAATCTCTCAACACCAAAACAACAAATGCACATGCAATGACATCTTTGTCAACAGCAAATACAGCTCCATTTTCAAGCCATATTAGCATGTGAATGTGAGGTAACCTTGCTTGCATGTACACCATATAAATTGTTGCCATAAACAAAAATCTGGTTCATAATGGGTGTGTCCCAAATATTAACTGATTTAATTTCATAAATAAACAATAGAACATTGTGACATGGCAACACATTGTTTTTCAGCACTAGATCTAAACATTAATTGATCACCTTGGTGAAAGTCCGCATGAACTGTATAAGTACGGTCAACTATTGCATTAATATTTCTATAGGGCCTGGATTTTCCTCAACATCATTTGAAAGTCTTAATAGCAATGATACATGAACATGATAACATACCATCTGTGCATACCACATGCACACCTCATTGTATTTTTCGGTTTTAAGCCCTGTTTACACTACGCTCAATTTTTAGTACGGCACAGATAAAATTGGTACCCGTACCACCTTTTTTGGTTCTTAGACTACCTAAAGAGAGCCCCGTTTACACTACGCTCGATTTTTCATACTGTACCACTTTTTTGGTTCTTGGAGTACCTAAATAGGTAGTCCCAGACCAAAAACAAAAAATGCTACGGGTACCAATTTTATCCGTGCTGTACCAAAAATCGAGCGTAGTGTAAACGGGGCTTTAGTCACTACATTTTTAAGACATGGCAAGTAAAATAGGCCATGGGCCAAGTGCCGAAAATGTGGTTAGAAATCGATTTTGAATACGCACCTCGGGGAACCAGATGAATTTTGCACCGTAGTAAGCTTATGTATTGTTGATTGTTTTTTTTTATGTATGCCAAGCCTGATACTTGCACATTAAGTCACAAATCGAGTCATTGTGTGTGAAGTTTTTTTTATAGTTGGCGGCCATCTTGGATTGCGTAATTACATATTTTATGCAAATTGCTCTCTATATTAACTTTGTTTTCACATGATAATTTTTAAACTGACTGAAAACATTTGCACTGACCAAGCCCCAAGGTGTGCAGTCTGTTAGTAATATCTGCTAAGAGTTTTTCATACGACAATTTTTCGTGTACAGGTGTGTGTACCACAGAATATCACAGTACCACTGACAGAATACCATTTTTTTTATTTCTCTTATAAAATTTGAAAGAAACATGCTATATACTTTATGTTGTAAATATATATTAATTTTAGTCTCAATGGTCATATGAATACGAAAAATGGATATTTTCATAAAATTTTTAAAAATAATCTGGATAAACAACATATAAAATTCCTTATTTTTGGTGCTTTTTTCTGCTTAATGCCCGTAAAATCAGAAAGTTTGAAAATAAGTTTGCAAACAAACATAATTTACATTTTTCAACAGTTTTTCTAAGCGATACAACATTTTTACTATTCAGGAATCTCACTGAGTAATCAAATTTACTATAAAAAAACTAAATTTTTCAAAATTATTGGTAAACCTATAATATACTGTGGTACATACCACTGGTATTCTGTAGTGATTTTAGTATTTACTTTCCACTAAATTAAGTTAGCAATATCTGTGCAGTGTTATCACACAACATGACACACCAAATCCTCGTACAATTTGATAATGAACCGTTCCTTACTTATTGCCGCACTGGCATTCTGTGGTACATTAGGATTTTATCCACAGAATGTCCGATTTAAAAAATAATAGAATATGCCAAGTCTAACCAAAACCCCACAGGAAGAAAAAATAATTAAAAACTATACTAAAAAATATTTAACAGGCTATGTTATATGCATTTGACAAAGGATATGGAACATGTAAATTTGTGTGGTATTCTGTGGTACATACACCTGTAATATAAATTAAGTGCACAAGTTTTTTTTTAACAAAACAAACAACAAAATCAACTGTAACAGTTTGTAAGGTGGTACTGAAATGAATCTTTATTCTCTATTTAATCAGTATTATTTTTCAAATATGCATAACGTGTGATGGGGTGCCTGTATTTAGGTATTGAATACAAAACCATCAAATACTGTTCAATTTGATTTAGATACTGTTTACCATAAACCCTTCAGTAAGCACCCCCTGCATTTGCTACTGGATTCCATCCGTCAATCAATGTGCATTCCTATTTAGTCTAAAAGCCCCCCTCCCTCTCTCAACAGTATCTATCTTACTGAAGGGTGTACAGTATTACTCAATTAAAATTTATTACAAAGATATACATATGACATATAATGTACTGAATGCTGCAACCCTTATACATTGGGTCATTCCAGAAAACTTTCATACATTACTCAGGGGAAACTGAAAGTTAATCCTCTACCTCCTTTTTATATCTTAATACAATCATTTTTATTTGAAAGGGAGTTAGGGATTGCCAAATCAATTAATGACCTAAATTTCATGAGACATGCTGCCGAATTAAATCCAAAGATGATCTTTTTGCTAACAGCAATTCTGGCACCCAAAGAGGGCCGGGTCTTGGTTCAACCCTAATGGACTAATTAACCACATACACAGTCCAGCCCTGGATTTAATGAATTTTTGCATGATTTTTACTTCCATGATGCACGTCTCGGTTTCTTAAAAGTTAATTAATGTGAAATTGAATGCTAAACTGACTACAACAGTGGTGGAAAACAACATTTAGACAAAACGTACATAGGCGTAAGTTTGTTGTTTGTAAGGATTATTAAACACTGAAAATATAATTTTTGAAACACAGTGTAGTCATACATATGTTCTGGTAATAAAACTCAGCTAAAGGTATGTATTTAAAGACAAAGTGCCGAAATGCATACTTTTGAATTTGTTTTAATACATTTGTAATAATAAAAAACAACCATGTTAACATTACTATCACTAAAATATAGTGAAATTTTAACTCAATATACTAGACAGTCTTCCATGACATTCTTAAGAATTTAGGACGTATCTGAGTTTATTGAATACCTAACTTGATTATATTTCGGTTCGTTGTAATAAAACACCACAATATTTTGCACAATTCTCAACAATCCTGTCTTACATTTTTTGGCATTCTCGTCCCTTATAGCTTGTCTCCTTTCTTCCCTTTCGAGCTTCTATTTGTCACAAAACCTGTTATATCACTCCCGGTGAAATTTGCAGTAGGCTGGTATTGGCAGAAAACTCTTAGCATTATCTGTGTGCGTTGTCTCACACTGTGAATCGAGACGCAAGTCAAGTTTCGCCTCCGAATCATGTGCGAATTCGCCCTCTTTACAAATAAATTTCTTCCACTTTGCTGCAAATATCACAAAATTGCACCATGATGTATATGTAAAATAAGTTAATTTTCCTCTTGCATTATTTATTATATGCATATAATGCAAAAATCTTTCCCTGGCGGTCTGCCTTCAACGACGGACGCCATATTTGTTTACAACTAGTCTTTGTTGCGACTGAAACATGATACACTTATCTGATTGGTTTATCGCTGGGCAAAACCCCTTTTGATTGGTTAAAAGATATAAACATGCTGTGTATTTGAAACAAAGTATTTAGTAAATTCATACAAATTAGTCAAGAAAGCGGTTGATTTTTCTCATTAATGTGCAAGACTCACGATTGGCATACCACATAATTTTGTTCTAAAATACATGTGCTAATAGTTATTGAAGAAATTTTTTGGTTGCCCAAGGTGCGTATTCAAAAGTCACATTTTCGGCACTTGGCCCATGGCTTAAAATACATCATCAACATTAAACAGAGAATCATCAACATTTGATTCCAGAATTTACCTTTCAGTCGAGACATAGAGATACACCCATATTTTTCAGTCAGTTCACCTGTTTGTAGCATATGAATCCCCAAACTGGGTTTGCTCTTTACAATTAACATACCTGCACAAATACATGGCAAGGTTGGTTTTGTTTAACTGCACAATGGCAAGTTTGTTTTGATTTTAATATATTTCAGTTTCAATTTGATATGTGGATCTCACTGACATAGGCGCCTCAGCGCCTGATCTAAGATCAGTGCAAGCAACAAATATGGCTTCATTCAACTTTTTGAATGTATTTATGTATGCAAAAATATGGAGCCTGATCAATGTTTTTAGTATTATAAATGAAAATTTTCAACAACAAATGACTAGAGATGGAAAATAATTGGCTTACCTGTATTTGTGATGAAATATTGATGTTTTATTTGCATATCTGTGGACTGTGCATTTACTATTATCATCGCCTCATGGCATTAATGACAGTTTCGGAAGTGAAGACGAACACGCTCCGTCACAACTTCACAACTTTCACAACCTTCACAACTCTTTTAGCGTGTACATAATGGTTAGCCCGCGAACGGGCTAACGACAAAAAACCAATATCAGTCTTTAATAAAATTACACAGGCTCACTGTATGTCAATTGTCATACTCGAAACAAAATACTTTAGTTAAAGCTAGCCAGAATATTATAATATATTTTTATATATCAGCATATATTACCACTCATATAAATGTCAACGAAACCTTATAATTATTTAAATTGTTTGCGCAAATGCTCAGTTGCTTAGTTCTTTCTTCACTTTCGTCATTGCTGCTCCTGAAAGGCAGTACTCAAGTACTCAGGAAGACCAACGTTTTTCCATCTCATGTTGGAGCGATGATAGGACTAATTTTCTTTGTGCTAGAATGTTTTTGATAATTCTAGTCACCTTATCCTTTGACTGAACACTGGTATTTGTTGAACCTGTCAACTTAAAAACAAATAAGAAAATTTCATATAGATAATCATAGTCCAGTTCCTGTTCTCCAAAGGCGACTTGACTTGGCTGTACACTATTTGTTGTAAAATGAAATGATCATCATTCCACAAGTTATGAGGAAACTCTTCACCATGATCTGCAAAAAAGTCACCAGGGGTTTTGGGGGTGTTGTCGTGTTTTCTTCACTTTCTGCTGATCGTTTTAGTTTTGTTAGCCACTCTTTTTCCATAAGGGGTATTACAATTCTTGCATTTGCATTTCTCGCTGCAACCTTGTATTCTCTGAACCACATCTACAGGATGTTTCAACCCTATTTTCAACCCTAGCATCACATTGTATCTGCAACACAATCGCATCATAGTGACCTTTACCACTTTGGTTAAAGGCAACGTAAATAGGAATTGCTGATAAAGGAGCCTGTCTAGGATTCAGAGGTATGATTGGGTAGGTATCGATCGAAGTGAAAATGACTACTGGACATTTTAAAACATTGCTGAGAGCCATAAGCATGCTATTACCTAACTCGCAATCAAAAACCCCTCGTTGGATAAATTGTTGTGCCATTTCATAAAATGAAGATTTATCGGCAATAATAAGAAACATTTCATATTCATGACTATATTCACCAAGCCACTCCATCACAACTAGTTCCCGCAAACATACTATTCTTTCACATACATCTTGGTTTTTGTAAATATCGATTGCTTTAAGGTGGTCTGTTAATAGGCAAGGATCTAAATCAAAGAATTTTTCTATCCCGTAACCAACAGAAGTGAAGCAACAATCACCATCAACAGGCAGCTCTTCAAAACCGTAATTGCTGACAACATTATTTAATCGTTCTGAAGCTTTCTCATATTCACACAAGACACTACATCTCACACTGGATGTGAGAAAAGTAACAACGACGATGCGTGATCTAACCAATTTGACTGATGTGACATAATGGGAGCTTGTGTTTTATTGAAAACTTCCTTCGCCAGATTCATCATAACTTTGGCTCTGCTAATGATGTTATTAGCATCATCGTTTGACATCATTTCTGCATCAGCGGCATGATCGGTATCACATTCTGATTCTGAGTCATCATGGCTAAGTTTCTCATGTGCAGTAGATTTCTCCAAGATTTGTGTTAGAGTCTTCAGAGCCTGCCAAAATATCACTTCGTAAATCTCGCACTTTACCTACTCCGATACCGAATTTCTCTGAAGTTTTAATACCACCATTCTTCAGAAATGTTTGATACCATTTGGTAACAGGGGGAATAACATGCCTTTCATTGTAAAATATCAGGAAAAGGACAGCCACTGCATAACTTACACACATTCGGTTTTTATTAATTCATTTTCTCAACTTACGATGAAGACCTTTGTTTCTGTTTGTTCCAATGCCTGCTGGGATATTGCTAAGTCAGCCCAACTGTACATGTTTAAGTAATTTTTCAACCTCATTTACGGCTGATTTGGGAAGGACGCAAATATCGTCAATCGTTTCTGTCTGCCATCTCTTCACAAAACTACAAAGATTTTTTTCTAGTTCCTTGGAAGATGGAGTAACTTGCTTTCGAATTTGACCAATGTTGTCATGCGCACAGAAGCACAGACGCAATTCTTTGATCATAATTTTTTGTGTCTTTCGAAGTGCTGCATTAACCCCATGCTTTGGAATCTGTGCAATAATTCTCTGAATGGTATGGAACAGGCATGTAGTAAAACACTGACTACCGGAACACCGGAACACCACCGGAACACCACCATTTTGTTTGGGGTTAGGGTTAGGGGTTAGGGGTTAGGGTTGGGGGTTAGGGTTGGAGGTTAGGGTTGGGGGTTAGGGTTGGGGGTTAGGGTTGGGGTTAGGGTTAGGAAAGTCTTCTTTCTCTGAATATGGCGATTTTTTTCTAAAAATTAGAAAATGCAAACTTGGTAAGAAAATGGCGTAGACTTACCTACATTTATTAACACACATGAATAGAAGCACAGTATACCATGCCCAGAATAGGCAGTCGTTGTCAACAAAATTTTAATAGCATGCATGCTTTCATAACATAAAGAGAATGTTTATTTTTGTAAAAAAATGTGTTTTTGCTTTTTTGCACTTAAAATGAGATATAACAGATCGGAATGCACTTAATAACGTGCTTTGAGTATGGAGTACACACTGTACCGATAAGATATAGTACCATGCTTTGAGTATGAATACACACTATACCGATAAGATATAGTACCGTGCTAACGTGCTTTGGGTATGAATACACACTATACCAATAAGATATAGTACCGTGCTAACATGCTTTGAGTATGAATACACACTATACCGATAAGATATAGTATTGTGCTAGCGTGCTTTGAGTATGAATACACACTATACCAATAAGAAATAGTACCATGCTAGCGTGCTAACATGCTTTGGTATGAATACACACTATACCGATAAGATATAGTACCATGCTAGCATGCTTTGATATGAATACACACTATACCGATAAGATGTAGTACTGTGCTAACATGCTTTGGGTATGAATACACACTATACCGATAAGATATAGTACTGTGCTAGCGTGCTTTAGTTGTTGAGGAAAGAAATTCTTGTTGAATCATTTTTTTATATTATTCTATTCTCTTTGAACTCTATGATAATGGAATTTGGATTTTGGAGCTTTCCTTTAACACGGGCTCATTTTATCAATGAATGTGTGGTTCTTTGTTCTTGTATATGGTGTTACTGTCCATCTTTACTTCAATTATGCATGCGTCGTACTCTCTATTGTTCTAACAGAGCTCTTTCAGAACACAATGAAGTGATTGACAACCCATGCACATAAAAATCCTCATTTTGCATTTTTCATTGTTGCTTCGGAGTTTCGATTGTTGGCGTTGCAGTTATTGTGAAAAGTCTGAGTTTTTGGTCTCCACAAGAAATCACAGGGAATTTTTCTTTGGGTAAGTTGAACTTTTATCGTAAAATCCACTTTTCGCATGTATGGCTATAACTTTTCTGTTATTACCTTAACTGGTGATAATGATACAGTGTATAATTTGTGCAGCAAGGCGTAATATAATATAATGAATATACCTATTTTCAAATCTAGAATTAACATCACCCAATTAAAGGTTTATCTGTACGACGAAATGACGAAGGGCAAATGCACTACATACCAAAACGAGCAAAGATACATACACATGTATTTCCAACTTCTACTTCACGAGTTCCCTCCAAGGCTCAAATTATGTCACTACAATGGATGGATCTTGGACGTTCACCACACGGATGTTGTTTCAATGTAAGTAATATTTCATATTCTATAAAAATCGACTTTTAGCTTGCACGTTATTTTCGTTGTGTCACAATATCGGTTGTTGTGCATCTTGTGTGTATTATGTGTCAAGTGTTTGAGATTTGTGGCACAGAAACAAAGTTTAAAAAACTCTGTGAATCCATATTTAAATGTAAAGGTTTCTTTTTATCAAATGTTACAGTTATTTGCTTAAGTTGAATGCATCTAACAATTTTATACGGTACCTATATATTATGTGCCTGTCAAAAATAACTGTGAAACCGTTTGCCCTAGGTCAGTTTGTTTGCGCAAAGCGAGTGTTTCTTTTGTCGGCATCGCCTATTACGTCAGCAAATGCAATGCTGCCAAACCAAAAATCGCTTCACCACACACGAACAAAATTTCTAGTTTTATAAAAATTTCTAGGTTAACCTCGGGAAGTAACTCTCGAGCGTTTGTGCTTACGTATCATTATTCACTAAGCGGAAATGTTCACAGCAAGGGTTTTTTTTATTTTGTTGCGATACGGCAAACGGAAACGTTTTACCGTAATGAATGTTTTTGATGTTACTCTGAGTGTATATCCACACCGGACAAGCTTGAAAAATATGCCTGGCCACCCGAGTATATAACATCAACACAGAAAAAAAATCATGGTTTCACCGTAAATTAAATAATAGTGATAAGGATATCTGAGGGGGGACCAAATTTCTTTTGGGGTAAAAATTTGTTGCGACATGCACCTGCTTGGAAAAGGAAATATTTATTGAAACTTTGGCTTAAAGTGTGCAATTGCAAACTTATTGATACAAAGAAATCACATTTATGTGAATTTTGACAACAAAATTAAGATACAAGTCAGATAACGAGACTTAAATTAAACAGTGTTTGTACCTGGGGAACGGCATCCACTAGGCTAATTTGCTCGTGCGGAGCGGCTTTTTGTTGCAGAGTGTGTAGTATAATTACACAGGTGATTATTTGGGAATAATACTAATGCAATCAAGACAGTCATCATCGAGAATTTTCAATATGTAATTACCATATTTACTCGTGTGAGCGCCGCTGTCCCAGGAAATTTGCCCCCCCTCAAAAAATTTGCCCCCCCAGCCAAATTTCTTAGGAAATTTCCCCCCCTTCGCAAATTTGGCCCCCTCAAAAACATAGTTTACTTTGTACGTTTGCATGGCGATAAAACATATAATAGTTTTGTTTGTGGAAACACCACACAAATTTATTACTGCAAAGCTTAAGGATCGAAAGCTTTGCAGTAATAAATTTACGTGGTGTTTCCACAAACAAAACTATTATATAGTTTATTTTATCGCTATAAGCTCGGAACTTGTGAAGCTTCTTCTAAAACCAAAATCCTAAAAGTGTTTGTCAGTATTTATAGTTATATGAATTTTTTCTGTGCTGGTGTTGTGTACTCAGGTGAATAATATGTTTGTGATGTTACTCTGAGTGCATATCCACACCGGGCGAGCTTGAAAAATATGCCCGGCCACAGTGGGTACACAAGTACACGGTGGGTACACCTGAGTACACAACACCAGCACAGAAAAAATTCATATTACAAGAACACATTGGTATTGAAGGAACTAGATACTGTTCCGAAATATCACTTACTCGAACCGTCCTGACCGCGTAGCTCAGTTGGAAGAGCATTGGGCTAGTATTCCAAAGGTCGTAGGTTCGAATCCCACCGTGGCCGGGCATATTTTTCAAGCTCGCCCGGTGTGGATATGCACTCAGAGTAACATCACAGACATATTTATAGTTAGTTTGCATAAATTGTATCATTTTAAGTATTATAAAAATCTTTTGTTTCTATAACTTAATGATACAGCGCAGCCATTATTTATTAACATTGTGTTCTACAAAACAGTAAAAAAAATTTTAATTAGGTAAAGGAACTTATTGCCACAGCGATAAGAGTTTTTATTGCTTCCCGGAATAATTTATAGTTGAAATTAACTATGCAAAATAAGTAATTTGCGCGCGCAAGTTAATTTAGGTATAGTCACATGATTGGAAATTTCGGTATTTATCAGTGGTGAAGCGGGCTATCTGTCCTTTTCTATTCCATATGGGCTGCAGTTCACATAAAAAAATTGGATGGAAGAGAATTATCTTCTGTATCTGGTAAATATCTCTTACTTATGCATAATAATTAATAATATATTGGATACCAAGGACATATCCATTTTGCTTGTGACATATGGATATGTATGGGACTTTACTTACAAACCAGACTGCGGGGTTGGCCATTTCGGGTTCGCAAAAGTTAGAAACTCGAAGTGTGTGTGTGCAAAACAGTTCCCAAGTGTGCATCAAGATGCAGTCAAGGGCACAAAAGTAGCGAGATACTTGTTAAAAACAATGAAAATTAGAGATTACAGGGCAGATTAAATTGCGAAAATTGTTATAAAGTGCTAAATTTCTGCCTAAAAAATATTGAGTGCGACTTTGACTAACTCTGCAGTCTGGCTTACAATGACTCACATATTCATGACTTTTTGTCGCAGTCTACAGGGGTAACTACAGTACACTCTAAATATGAATAAATGTGAACTTTAGGAATTTATTAGCCAGCCCCTAGTCTTCCGATTTATAAAATGGGAGCTAAATTTTTGGGAGATATCTACCCTCAGTGTGTATAGATAGTTTTGCTCACACAGCTACTCGTGGTCGTGATTCTACAAGCGTAGCAGATCAATACTGGGCTCCTTGCGATTTGGGGGCGGCAGCGCGACGGCGACAGCCACAACACACTCCTCCAAATAAATGGTAGTAAAAATAATTCGACGCCTATTATCAGTCGTATGAATTTAATACAGTCTTACATTTAAGACATATTTTATTTTATTTTATTTTACAATATTTCAGAGGCTCAGAGCAGAACACTCCCTTACGGGTAACCTTATTATTTATACAGAATACATATAAGTGATAATTATTAACAACACAATTTAACAGAGAGACTAGACAAGGGACGACATGAATGACATTTAACATGGGTTTTATGACTGGGTAGAGTTTGGCTGAACCTGGTTTGAAATTGCACTTGTTGCGGCTTGAAATGCAGCCGTTGCATCAAGACGTAAAATCTCTGATTTGGCGTTGTAATTACAGAGCGAAGACAATGTCTAAATTATTCATATATTGTGATTATTCCATTCTCTCAATGATTTATTGTATTGGAGGCTGTTGCTGTCACATTGCCGTCCTGGGTCGTAGGGTCTCTAATGTGAAAGCTCAGCGTCTTTGACTTGTGCAAGCGCTGTGTTCAGTATAAACGTACTATATGTAGCATATACCTTGCACTGTTGCGTGACTAAAATTT